GTCCAACATCTTCTTCCTTATTCCTATTTTTTTTAAAATGTATGCATATGGCAATATTCATCAACCAATAGAACTGGCAAATCGTTTAGAATCTACAATTCCATACAAGGAGTCCCACTCATAGATTTTTCAAATTCTTTCAAAGTCGACGTCGAAACACCTAGCGGGTGAAATTGAAACTAATTTTTCTGGCTGCTCGAATCGATAAAATCTCTGATAGTGTGAGTCTTTTTATGAAATCTTTCTGATAGAAAACACTGAATTAATATTAGCATTAAATGTTGAATCCGAAGCGTAATCTGAAATAAAAGTGAAAAAACATTGCGCGGACGTCAGAGAACAAACTTCCGGTTTAATAAAAAATGGCGGACGTCGAAGGAGAAATTATGACGAAGAATTAGAGGATTTTCCTTTGCCATTATCGATCGTTGTAAGGTATGTGCACAAATTCTAGTTGCATACATGGAAAATAGATACATTTTTAAAGGCAACAACATATTCAAAGCTTTCATTTTACGATAGGCCCAGGATCATTGGATACGACTCAGCAATCGATATTCCCACTTTAACTTCAAAATATTCCCAATGTATCAGCTGTGTATTAATACAGATCAATGTGAATATAAACATTCCTGTGAAATCTTATCTTTTTGATATTTATTTTACCTGATATTTAAAGTGATATAAGTCTTATTTTACCATTTAGTATGTATCGTTTTGGAATATCTTCATTCCTTCTGGTAAGGCTAGGATGGTAGGAAATACAATAGGAACAGAATATATTAAAAACTGAATCTGTAACGTTTAGGAATATAATGCAGCATTTGTCTGTTATTTAGATAATGATAGCTTAATGATAAATATACAGGGTGGGCCAAAAAACAATACCCACGTTTAAAGATGAATGATTCATATGATATATGTTAAAGCATGCCATGTATTATATATCATTTTAAAGATAAATCATTTCCTAACAAAATGACACCATCCAATTGAAAAATCTTTGTTTTCTTGTGGAGGTAGAGACTAAACTTGACACCAGGGGTGCCGCGAGTGACCAAAAATCAAAAATTCCCAAATTTCCCTCCATATTGGAATCACAGCTGCACTCAATATGCTTAACTGAATCATCATAAATTTATTTAAGAGTAAAACACAATTGATAATTAATTAAACATATATAAGTATTATTGCTGAATTTTGCACTATATTGTATAAATGTACCTTTTTTGAAGGTGCCAAAGTTCAAATTTCTCTCCATTTTCCACAATTTAGAAATCCACAGTGAATAATTTTGGTCGCCCATAACACCCTTGGTGTCAATTTTAGCCTCTAACTCCACGAGAAAACAATGGTTTTTCAATTAGATGGTGTCATATTATATTGTTAGGAAATGATTTATCTTTAAAATGATATACAATACATGGCATGGTTTAACATTATATCATATGATATTCATCCTTAAGCTTGGGTATTGTTTTTTTGGGCTCACCCTGTAAATTCGATTATGAATTATTTATTGAGACTATTATATGCATTGCATACAAAACAACTTTATCGATTTAGTGAACTCCTCAATATTTATATATACATGTTTATTTTATAGTTTACTGATCTTTATGGAAAATAATCAATTTCCAAAAAATCCAAAAAACATGAAGTAAATTCAGTTGGACTCGAGGACAGTTATTCTGTTCAATGTAAGCCCAACTTTCTATGATCTAGGGAAAAATATACAGGGTGACCCATGAATAACTTTATGCATCAACCTTAATGTTACCGTAGGTTCTAAAATAATATTCATGGCGTAATAGAAATTATTATAATTTTGCACTGTTCCACTTGTTGGGTCACCCAGTAGGTAAAACTTCTCTTGGATGAATCCTATATCCAAAATTATTGAACTGTATCTTACTATGTACGTGTAAAATTTATAATTTAGAGCTGGGACCAAACAAAAAATTGTCTCATTCTTGAACTGAATAGAGCATTTTACCTCTTTGATCTCCAAAATAGTGAGGAAGTAATGAAATTTTGGAGAAAATAAAATGCATGTTTGAATTTAAGATTTGTCAAAAATGATAATTACTAGTCTAGTTAACTGTCCCCCATCAACTGCATGGAACAGTCGATACAAAATGGATGTGGCACTGGAAAATTGAAAATCATAGAAAACTAAAAGTTATGAGCACCATTCCAAGAGAGAGGTGTATTTGATTGTTTAACCCAACTAGAAAATATAGCATATGTGTCCAACTAGCAACTGTAAGATATGCCCTATGTGCTGGGGGGTTACCGTTATCTCCCTTAAACCCATTCAGGTATGAGACAAGGTGTGTTCCTAATATGAGAGCATTCAAAGCATACAATCTACATCATAATATACCATGGCATCTCATTTTAGGTGAAGCAGAAAGATGCTATGAGTATCAGAATGTACAATCTATATTATCCCCACTGTTTTAGGCTCTGTATTGGTATATGTTTAAGTAGACATGGGTAACTCTCCAGCTGTTCAGCAAATACGAATCAATTATGTTTTCATTGTCTATTGTTCATGACAATCATTGGATTTTTGTCTGTGTTATATATATGTATATGATACAACCTTTGCCATTGGGCTTTGTATTGCTAAGAGTAAGTGAAATACCCTTAACCAAGGATGCATATAATAGAATAGATTAGCTGTTTCATAATACATGTGTCTTTAATATAGTCTAAGTACAGACTCAGTACAGTCTAAGAATGCTGTTATTTTTTATTCACGATTATACCATAGTATTGTATAATTATACCATGGGAATTGTCTGCTTACATTATGATACTCAGACCATCTCTGCCATGCACAAGAAGGAAACTGAGAGAAGGCTGTGATATCTCACGATGGTCTACTTATACCATAACAATTTATATGATTATATCATACGTATTGCGTGGTTATATCATAATGATTGTATAATTATACCATAAATTGAAAGATTTAAGCATCTACCATAAGAATATCATGATTAATTATACCTTAACAATTGTATGATTATACCATGTATGCTTTGTCATGGCATTGTATGTGATGTTTATTGTTAATTGATCTATTTATGTAATGTACTTAAACTGGTAAATGCCAATTAATGAATACAATGTTAAATTAATATTGCATTACCGGAAATGTATCACAGATAATTAATTTATCAATAGATGAATATCTTCATTACATTCATAGAACTCACAAAGAAAGCATGTTCCTCTGATCCCCAATAACATTTCATGATTTGAATTGCAATGAAGTACATTCTTTAAATAAGGGTCCTACTAATGACCAATAAAATGAGCATGATGAAAATGAAATCACGAAAAGAACAAATATGTTCTTGTGTAATCAAAGATCTACTGTAAAACCTGTATATTTGAACATCTTCCTTTTAAGACGGTAAAGATTAAAAAGTGTATTGGATTGAGTGGATTGGATTCATGTAAAAGGTGGATTGGATCGGGAATTTTCAAAATATGGAATTTCTTTAAAGGCCCCATGTAAAGTTTAAACCACTTTGGCTTATATTGTAGTCTTACCCAATGTTATCAAAGTGTGATATGTGAAACTATTTTTTTAATTTCAAAAAGTGGTTTTTGAAAGACTTTTTGTTCCAAAATTTGTGAATTTATTTAAAACCAGCTTTTCATACCAATGCATAGCATTCATCCTCTCATGTTTTTTGCCGAAAAAATTAAGAAAATCGGTTGATAAACAAGCGAAAAATGAATTTATCAGTGCATGAAAATGGTTCTGAGAAAAATGCATTTCAAAATTTTAGTTCTCATAGAAACCAATGGTACAATGATATCTAAAACATAATTTATTCTTCCTTTTAACCTGGTTAGACAATCAGCATTGGTTTTTTATGAAAGTCTAGCATATTTAGAAAAGATTGGTGACATCACTAATGTTTCAAAATGTTTTTGATATGCTAAAACATTGAAGTGGCCCATTAAATATGGCATTTTATTATTGAAATAGTGTGTCCTTTGTTCAATCTTTGCATTGGTGTTAAAAAGATAATCTTTTTTGAAATGCATTATGAAATATTTGATGATTAAGAAATTTCAACTTTTTTTGAAAAATGGCGGGAAATTTGAATATTTGAGATATGAAATGCTCACAACTTTTTTTCAAAAAATGTTTTTTGTTCAAAAATCTCTAAAATCACTTTTTAAGTCCTGACAAATAGTAAATGAATGATAAAAAAATATTTTCAAACTTTAGACGGGGACTTTAAGATTTTTTTCTATTAATCTCCCTTTTAGAAAATTGGTGCTCTCCTCACATCCAAAATGACAAATAATAGATGTAATATTATGTTGTTCAGGTAGGCTAGAAGGGTGACATGACCTGGTACCCGCTTCCTGAAACACAATCTTCCAGGGGTAGTTTAAGGCAATTCGTAAATCATAAGACAGACTGCTTTGAAGATCTGCATCATTTGTTTTCAATTCGAACAGAACATAGCAGAACATCTACATTTTATCTAGAGATGTGTGTTTATTATGCTTTACAAAAGTCAATTTACAAGGGAAAGCAGTTAAATACCTAAAATATCCATCAATTTATTGTATGTTACTAGGATGTATTTGTTGTTGCTTTGTTCTGATTCCTCAAATAGGCCCAAGTGATCACAAAATACTTTGTGGAATGGAAATTTTGCTTCGAGGGCGATCGAAAAAATCCATATTTTGAAGATTCCCGATCCAATCCACCTTTTACATGAATCCAATCCACTTGATCCATTCCAACTTTTAATCTTTACCTTTAAGACCCATTTTTCAATCTGGCAATTACCTCCATGCTTAAAAAATCTCAGAATGTGAACACCTCCCAATCTGAACATTTTGTACTGATGCCAGTGGTTTTCAAATTAGACTGGTTTTACTGTACTTCACTTTGTGCCTCAAAATACAAAATGTCATCCATAATCCTGAATTACTCAAATCCTTGATTGTATGTTTAGATGCTGCCAGTCCATCCAAAACAAAAGCGACAAAGCGTCAACAGATTCTTGCAAAACTGAGAAGTGCTATATGTGGACTTGTACTTATGTTAATAACTGCAGTCTCTTGGGTAGGAATGACACAATTTGCCCAATTAACATATAACCCATTGACGTACCAGGCACCATTCTTCTTAGTGTATTTCTCAACATCGTGGCTGGTTATATTCTACCCGTTATATTCTATTGGTGCATTACTCTATACCAAAGGACAGATATCTCTCAAAGAAACATTTAGGTAAGTGTTTAATTCAATTATTGTATTTTCATTTCCTGGCTTCCACAAATTGATCGTAGGATTGATTTTCCCTTGGAAGGCTTGTTGTGATAGATATTTACCCATCCATTAATGATGTAATTTACCATTTGAAAGATGACTTCATTTGTGTGAACGATGTAGATGTGATAGATCAACCCAAATTATTGACCAAGTATATCAATAGAATTATTTTGAATTCATACTAAAACTGCGGAAGGTTCTCTTACATTTCATTTAAATACATACTAAGTCAGTACACTAGACAATACACCTTTAGGAAATCTTTAACAAGTAATATATTTATTTACTTTCTATGTCAATTAATACATGTATTTTACTTTCTATGTCAATTAATACATGTATTTTACTTTCTATGTCAATTAATACATGTATTTTACTTTCTATGTCAATTAATACATGTATTTTACTTTCTATGTCAATTAATACATGTATTTTACTTTCTATGTCAATTAATTCATGTATTTTACTTTCTATGTCAATTAATACATGTATTTTACTTTCTATGTCAATTAATACATGTATTTTAATTTCTATGTCAATTAATACATGTATTTTACTTTCTATGTCAATTAATTCATGTATTTTAGTTCCTATTTCAATTAATACATGTATTTTACTTTCTGGGTCAATTAATACATGTATTTTAGTTCCTATATCAATTAATACATGTATTTTACTTTCTATGTCAATTGATACATGCACTTTACTTTCTATTTTCAGGGAAGGAATTAACAAATATCGCTCAGAAACAGACTGTTTTATTCCATTTAAGCTATTAGGCCAGCTCTCCTTGTTTTGTTTAATATGGACAGTTACGAATTACATGTATGTGCGGGCACTCAATATGTATAACATCCAACCCGTGGATGTCGTGTCTCTATTTGCCACAAGTCCTAGCTTTGTATATCTCCTATCTTGGATTATTCTGCATGAAAAGTTTATAGCAATACGGGTAAGTTGTTTCTTAAATACATTTTAATTCATATTCTTTATAGGAACATTTTTTTTCTTTATTTTAGATTTAGGGTAGGGTAAGATGGCCATGGTTGTCTGTTCAAGCTTCCCATAATGGGACTCTTTTATATACAAGTCAGGTCAGGTCAGGTATGCTAAAGTATTGTCCTTCCTTGTGTCATTCTCAATGTCATCATGTGTTTGGTTTTGTCTTCCATTCTGCTATTTTGTGGTTAGATAAAATTGACTGACCAACTTATAATTGATGTTAGCATTGTCAGCAGGTGATGATGATCACTCCCATGTAGCTTTTTAAAATGATAATAATGATCACTCCCATGTAGCCTTTTAAAATGATAATAATGATCACTCCCATGTAGCCTTTTAAAATGATAAAAATGATCACTCCCATGTAGCCTTTTAAAATGATAATAATGATCACTCCCATGTAGCCTTTTAAAATGATAAAAATGATCACTCCCATGTAGCCTTTTAAAATGATAATAATGATCGCTCCCATGTAGCCTTTTAAAATTCATAGATGAGTAACGTCATCATTGCATAGTAACAATGTTCATAAAGGTATATTACATGTACTATGATACATTATTAATGTCCCTATCAAGTCACTGCTTCCGTTCATAAATGAAGACCATCCCACGTCAGCCTATGTTGGCAGAGAGCCAATTATATATGACTTATTATAGTCGAGGATGTCTCAAGCACACCCAAGACGACTTTAGCCAATCTGTCTACCTACTTCTCTCACTATTCCCATGCAATTTACTCTCATCACAATACAAAGATTGTTTTGATGGCTTCCCTTGAGTCCCACTCCCCATTCTGATTTATCAAAGTCTTTAAAGTTTGTGTGTATTCCAAATGATGGTACAGGCTTTGGATCACACAATGCCCACTCCCCATCCCACAACTAAATCTTAAAATGTTAATAATCCAAATAGCATGGTAGATATAGTAGAAAGTTCCCTTAAACTTAAATATTCAACATTTTTAGTGCTTCAATTTTCATATTATCTTTATATATCTGATAGTTATACAAATTAAAATATTTCCAGTATAAAAAGTATAAAAAAGTGACATTTTCAAAGAAAATTAGATTGGATGATGTTGATGAACGCTTTTTAAACCTCATTATTAGATGTAATTACACATGTATATTTCAAATATAATATCACTTTGACTACATTTTGAGTTCTTTTCTGACGTAAATCAAGATTATTTCAACTTGCATTTGGTCTAATTGCTTTAATGGCTTCCTTAAAGTTGCTTAATAATCAATAGATTTAGTTTATAACACTATTATTACTATAAAACTAGCAACAGGACGTTTAACATTCCACAGGGTGTAATTTGCATAGACAAGACCATGTTTGCGCAAAGGTGGTAGTTGTTTCGGGGAAATAAACGTTTGTTCTGAAATGTTATAAATTTCTATGATTGTATGATATTAAACTCATAAACTAGAATTATTTATAATTAAGTAATCCTGTCTCTCACAATATATTAGCTTTATACAAGTAGTGACATTTACTCTCGTCTAGTCAATCAAATGGACAAGAATAGATAGAGACAAATTCCAAACATTTTTGTCAGGATACAGTGAAGGATGAAATATGGCGTGGTTGACCACAACAGAGATTGTCAATTACTGTAACATCCTGTTGATGCAAAACATCAGAGATTGTCAATTACTGTAACATCCTGTTGATGCAAAACATCATATGATTGTCAATTACTGTAACATCCTGTTGATGCAAAACATCATATGATTGTCAATTACTGTAACATCCTGTTGATGCAAAACATCATATGATTGTCAATTACTGTAACATCCTGTTGATGCAAAACATCATATGATTGTCAATTACTGTAACATCCTGTTGATGCAAAACATCAGAGATTGTCAATTACTGTAACATCCTGTTGATGCAAAACATCATATGATTGTCAATTACTGTAACATCCTGTTGATGCAAAACATCATATGATTGTCAATTACTGTAACATCCTGTTGATGCAAAACATCATATGATTGTCAATTACTGTAACATCCTGTTGATGCAAAACATCATATGATTGTCAATTACTGTAACATCCTGTTGATGCAAAACATCATATGATTGTCAATTACTGTAACATCCTGTTGATGCAAAACATAATGATTGTTTGACAAAAGTAGCAAGAACTAAAAATCTAATATCCTGATTGGTCAGTTTGTAATGTGGGCAGAAAGGCTCCTTTTGAGCACATCAAGCAAATGCTGAATACAAAAAACACAATGCTGGCAAAAGGTTAATCATATCATTGATTGAAAGAGGAATGTTGTTGCTTCTGCTCTACTGCACTATATGCACTACTGCACTATAGTCACAGTTGTTATTTTACATATTGAATGGGAGATTAATCAGTCAGTAGGTCCCAGGTATTTCTACAATCTACATACATTTCTGCATTGGCTCTATACATATGCGTGTTAATAGGGAGAAGACCAAAGATATTTACAAAGCACAACAAGATATAAACATTTAAGAGCACAAGTCATAAGGAAAAATAGCCCCCAATATCCCCAACTTTGATTTAACTTAAATGTAACAATGCATAACACCCCCTCCACTATTTACCATTCATGAATCAGTATACGAATTCAAGTGAGGTTTAAAAGGACAAAATGTGCTTTGGGTGCTTCAAATATAAAATGAGACGGCATCATAGATTCATGATAGTATTGCTAGAATCCATTTCCAATATTAAGAATATAGGTTTCCTAAATGTGGTATTGAGATATCTTTTTAGAATTTTTTGTTGGCTCTAATATTTAAAATAAACTGGTGATATTAGATTCTCAAAGTTCCTCACAAAACATCCCCTGACCATTTCACCAGAATGATGTTTGATATACGAGTACTTCCTTTACTCATGATTTCACAATGGCAGATAAGCTGTGGTGCAGACTATATGGGGTCAAATCTATAAAATCAATGCAATATACTGCCATCTTAGCTTTTGTAATTATTCCCCAGACAGATGTACTATTGAGTTAAGGAGCTTATATGAATAAATCAGGCAATTTCAACTTAAGACATAGAAATAAGGCTTTCCATGTGGGCAAGGCTAATGGCACAATTCCATGGCAATTATCTTCCAATATATGTGCTTGTTGCCTCCTTAAGGAGAAGAAGCCATTTTCTCCTTAAGGAAAAACCTTTCAGAAAAGTACAACTCCCCACAGGAGACCCCTCTTCATGATTTTAAGACAGTCAGTAATATTGAACAGCACTGCTGTAGCAATATTACAGGGTGACACAAAATGCAATCCATGGATCAACTGTTGTAGCAATCAATTACAGGGTGGCACAAAATGCAATCCATGGATCAAAACATCGACTCACATTGTTGGAACTACACAAAAAGCACAAGCTAACATCATTCTGCCTATACTTAAGTTTAGGTATCAATTGTGCTTGGAAATGGATAAATCATTTTATTCCACAACTGCTCTGCATTCAATCTACATGGCCTTTGGAGTATTATAAGAAGGCACTTGACATATGAAGTTAATAATATGAAAGCAATCCAGAAATGACATGATGAATGAAAGATGAAACAAGCCTAGAGCATACCTTGATGGAAAATGCCTTTCCTTTAAATCTAGAAGTTTTAGATTCTCTATGAGTACATCATGATTTTGCACATTGGACGATCTTGATCTTATCTTTATCAGAAAAATGAAGAAGATTTCATAACTCTTGAGTTATTCAAATATAGAGTGTTGCATATCTTTACGTCACCCTGTATATTGATTCCATATGAGTGTTTGTTTATGGTCTCTTTTGTGTTTGCTTAATTAAACTTGATAATGGGAATAAAAGCTTATGAGACCATTGGAATGTTTTATGTCGAATTTACATTAAGATTTCAGCTCTGAGTGGCCACCTACATTTATTTCTCAGGTCTTTCTCAGGTCTGCCATTTGATTCAATGATTGCCTGGTAATTGTAATCTGGTAGGTAAAACAAACACAATCCCAAGTGGAATTTCTTTGAATGAAAATCGTTTCAATGTATACAGATGGTTTCAAAGTCAATTCCTTATCTGCCACAAAGGCAGTTCTCTTATATTGATTGATATCCTAAAACCAGTGGCTACATCAGATAAAACTTATTTCCGTTGGTGAAGTCAAACGTTCTAAAGATTATTCGATCAATTGATCAGCTCTTTTTGGTTCAACCGAATCTATATTTTATATAATCATGTCACTTCTTGGTTATCAATTTTATATATGGAATATAAAGTTATAATTATACATGTTGAAACAAGTGTCAATAAAAGATATATACACAATGTATGTGTCAATAAAAGATATACGCAATGTATGTGTCAATAAAAGATATATACACAATATATGTGTCAATAAAAGATATATACACAATGTATGTGTCAATAAAAGATATATACACAATGTATGTGTCAATAAAAGATATACGCAATGTATGTGTCAATAAAAGATATATACGCAATGTATGTGTCAATAAAAGATATATGCAATGTATGTGTCAATAAAAGATATATACACAATGTATGTGTCAATAAAAGATATATGCAATGTATGTGTCAATAAAAGATATATACGCAATGTATGTGTCAATAAAAGATATACACAATGTATGTGTCAATAAAAGATATATACGCAATGTATGTGTCAATAAAAGATATATACACAATGTATGTGTCAAGAAAAGATATATACACAATGTATGTGTCAAGAAAAGATATAATATACACAATGTATGTGTCAATAAAAGATATATACACAATGTGTCAAGAAAAGATATAATATACACAATGTATGTGTCAATAAAAGATATATACACAATGTATGTGTCAAGAAAAGATATATACACAATGTATGTGTCAATAAAAGATATATACACAATGTATGTGTCAATTAAAGATATATATACAATGTATGTGTCAATA